CACAGATACTTCTATATCCCCCTCTCCCCCACCTTATTTGGCAGCCCCAACCTCAGGTTTCTGAAACCAGTTTTTTCCAGAATGGGCTGAGAGCCCAGCATGCCAATTCAGAGCCTTGACACGGGTCACAGGTTCTTTCTCCCTCTCTGAGCCTCAGTTTACCGTGTATAAAGTGACGAGTGAGTGTGCTTAGCTGTGAAGTGTTAAAATTGAGGTACCCTAGGGGGTCCGTGAGATTATTGACTATAAACATAAGTTCCCAGGTCCTGTCTGGCCACTGAATCCATCTGAGGATTTGGGGGGCAGGCATCTGAGTTCTGGGGTTCACAAGTCTGGACTGTGGCTTGAGGTATGATTTAAGAGAGACCCACAGAGGGTGAAATGTTTGGAAAGACTTGGTGGGCAGAGCTGAAGAGCCTGTGAAGCCTCCTGAGTTTGAGTGGACAGAAGAAACTCCCGGCTGGATCAAGAGCACCAGAGTCGGTGCAGCGCTATCCCACGTGTGGCCAGCAGAGGTCGCCTGGAGCCGGAGCATCACCTCCCACTGCCTTGGGTACACCTGGGCTGCCAGAGGCTCTGTTAGGAGGGAATGTTTCTTCCCGCTCCTTGTTTCAGGGCAGTAGGCTGGTAAGGTATCTCCCAGCTCTTCCACATCCTCCTGGAGGGCCACACAGAGTTCCATCATCGTTGTCTCTCTGGCGTGCGTGCGTGTGTGCATGCGCGCGCGCATATCCTTGCTGATGAGAAGAGTTCTGTTTCCTTCTCGATGCTGTAAGACAGGACAGTGGGCCCATCCACTGTTTTCTCCCGCTGCCCCGGGGAAGTGTTCCTATGGTTACCATTGTCTCCCAAGTCGTCACTCCCCAGTGTTCCCTAGAAGCACAGACACCCAGCACCCTCTTGGCAGAAAAAGGCCCGACAAGGAGAAAGACCATTTATTTCTCCACCCACAGTGGGACTGGTAGATTTTTTTTTTTTCTTCAAAAGAGCAATCGCTGGCGTCCCTTTAAAGCTTGGCCGTCTTCCATCCCAGCAGCCAATCCTCAGAGGCGGAGCTGGTGAGTTGCCTGGGCAACGGGCCTCTGGTTGGCCTGAGAGATCAGCCGCCCACTGCCCCCTTCCAAGGCGTGAGAAGTTAACGCTTTGCGGCCTGCTCTCCGTTTTCAATGCGTGGGCTTGAACAAGGCCTCCCCTCGCTCCTGAAGCCAGAAGCTACAGCTTTTGGGTCTCAGTGTCTGGAGCGGTTTAGTGGGGGAGAAGCTGGTACAAAGGCAAGAACAACGCCGTTGCCTGGGATAGACAGAGGTCTAGAGATGGGCACAGGAGGAAGAGGTTAGGGGGTCCCAGAAAGATAAATAGACACAAGCACAAAATAAGACAGCCTCGTCCCCAGTGGCCTGTGGAAATACTACTCTGTGACCTGGGGTTTCTATCCCATTGACTTGCAATGCCCAGTGGGCGGGTGGCAGAGTTGACATGGGTTAGAGGGACGAGGCAAAGGGGCAGACTGGCCCCTGAAAACCTTGCAGACTCCTCACTTCCCCGGTGCTTGACCCAAGTCCTGGGAAGGAGACACAGCCTATGAAGATGTGATGGAGACACAGGTGGAATCCACAGGATGTGACAATGGGAGCCTTTCTGTCTCTTTTCCCCCCAAACTAGGGGAAGTCAGAGGCACGTGGGTGTACGTGCGTGAGCGCGTGCGTGCAACAGGACACGTGTGTGTGCGTGTGTTGTGTGTGTGTGTGTGGCGTGAAGGGCAAAGCTCCGTCTTTTCCATAGGGAGGTCGCCCTCTCTGGCCGTTCTATCTCTGCTGCCCTTGCTGGGAGCCGCAGGTTGGAGCCAGCTGGCCTGGTGTCCTCCTGTCACTCCCACTGCCACCGGCCAGGTCCCCTTAGTGCTTCAGGCTCCTCCCGCCTGCTGGAGGGAGGCATGTGCCTGTCTAGGGGCAAAGCAAGAGGGAAGGCGGGCCACTTGAGCCTCAGGCCTTGGCCATGGCCTCAGATACACCCTGGGCGGTGAGCTCAGCCAGCACATTGTCTAGGTAGCTGGCATCGGGGTAGCCGTGGCCGGTGAGGTTGGAACCAAACTCCGTCTTGTGATGAATCTCGTTCCACACCACGGTGTCCGACTCGCCCGTGGTGTTGGATGTTCCAATCGTGAAGATGAGTCTGCGTTCCCAGGCGGTGATGAGCAACCTCAGCACCTGGAGGGGTTGGGGGGCGGGGGTGAAAGTTACAGGCAGCCTGGGCCTCAGCCTGCTCCATTACCATCCACTGCTTTAGGTTCTGTTTCTTTGGGACCTGCTATCAGTACAGATGAGGCTTAGACCCCTCTCTTGTGAATTAGTCCCAACGATTAAAGATTTGGAGATTTCACAGGAAAACTGAAGGTGCTAGCTTCTTCAGTTAAACAGTAAATGAGAATCGGACAACCTGAAGGACTTGAAAGGGCTGTTTGAGCTCTGTGGCTGTACATAAGTTACTTGACCTCTCTGAGGCGTCTTCAGTGGGTGTGAATGGAATGAAGCAGGCTCCGGACCTGCTGTTAGCATGCTGGTCTGGAAGGAATGATACAACAGGGGCTGTGGACAAAGAGGAGGCAGGCCAGGAAGATGGTGGCTGGGGACCCCGCCCTCGTTCACTGTGGAGAGCCGGTGGGCACCCACCTTCCGGCCCTTCTCATTGTTGGGTAGGTAGCAGTGGCGAGGGAAGCCTCTGGCGGTGAATTTCTTGCCTGGGTTGGGGTGTTCAGGGCCCTGTGGGAACAGCAGGAGGGCTCAGATCACAGACAGGTATTGTCTCTGGAGGGCTCACAGGGTCGGGGCTGTGGTCTGCGGGGCTGACCTGGATGCCCGTCGGGATGTCATAGACGATGCGGATGGTCTGGGTGTCTGCAAAGCCGGGCAGCGAGTGTGGGATGACATGAAACTCCATCTTCCCTGGCGGCTGTGTGCCCGTCTTCTCTCCATAGATGGCTTTGCAGGTGGGGCACTGCAGGCTGCCGTCCTGGGAAGAGCGTGCTGGTCTGAGGCTCTTGGGGTCCCACCCGGTCCCCAGCCACTACCGAACTCACTACCCGGCACCCACCCACTGCACGCGGGGCAGCCCACCTTGTGGCCCACCTTGTTGCCATTGGAGTACATGGCCACCAGGCAGAGCAGGTGGTACATGTGGCCGCAGCGGCCCAGGCGGCCCACAAGCTCCGGCCTCACACTCTTGTTCCGGAGCACACCCTCATAGCCAGATGCTGTGACCAGCCGCTCCATGCAGATGGTACAGTCCTGGAGGGCCAGGGAGAGACACTGAGGAGGGGGGTCATGAGGAAGGTGACAGAGGGGGGGACACTGAAGATGGGGAGATGGGTAAACCTTGGCTCTGACCCCCTCCCTAGACAGCCCCTGAGCAGGGGTTAAATGCTTAAGTACCCAAAGCAAAACCCTGAATGGAAAATGTGGCCTAAAACCGTCTATCAGGTGTGACGCTATTAAACGTAAGCCCCTCCCCCAGGGCCTGGGGAGGAAGAGAGGCCTGGACAGGCCGGAGAGGCTGGCTGGGAGGAGCTGGTCCTAGAAACCTAGACCTCTCCAGGACGGCTCACCTCATCAGGTGGGTTTTTCACCTTCTGCATGTACCTCCGAACTACATCCTCGGGGTTCTTACCTGCAGAGTGGGGGGGACATGTCTCAGGAGGGTTGGGGTCAAGCGCTGGGGAGTAGGTGGAGGAGAGGCGGGAAGGAGGTGGTGAAGGGCAAGCTGAGGGCAAGCAGAGGCCGGTGCCTACTGGGTCCTAAGAGCTCTGGGGTTGTGTTTGGGGGTCATACGGGGCCTACTTTTTTTGAGGTGTTTTTTCTTGGTCTTGCGGCACACGCCGGGCACTCCGGGCACAGGCTTCACGTCGCTCTTGCTCACGGGGGGCGGGTGCAGGATGGGTTTGGGGGCTCGTGTGAGGCACACGGGCAGCCCGGCAGCACACAGCAGTATCCCAGTCATCCCTGGGAGTGGGGGTGTAGTGATGAGGGGTAGAATCGTGACCAGCCACGCCCTCCCTTCATGGTTGGTGGATGCCACAGAGGTTGGAGGGCAGGGCGTCTCCCTAGACTCTGACCCGCCTACCCAAGGCACCACCCAAAGTTGCAACCAAGCTAACCCAATGGGAAAGGCCGCTCTTGGGCCCACCCACCAGTTCACCAAAGGGGCGGGGATCATGAGGCTGGGGGGCCGGGCCTCGTTGGGTTGGGTCTTACCTGCCAGTGCTGGATGTACAGGGCCGGTGCCATTCAAGTTCTTCACGGGGAGCGCCGGAACCCTGTGGGGATGAGTAGAGGTCCCAGCTGGACTCCAGACCCAAGACTCCGTGCTAAGGACCCTGGTTTGCTAAATTTTACCTCAGGCTTCCTCCGGGCACACCTCATCTCCTCTGCCTCTCTGTCATCCCTATGAGCCATCAGGAAACCCCATCCCATCTTGGGCTCCTGTCAGCGATGGGGTACAGTCAGGGGACTCTAATGGAAACATCCTTAGGCTTAGTTCTGACTCTTATTTTTAACACATGCTCTCGCGTAGCCCAGGCTGGCCTCAAACTTGAACTGTAGCCAAGGATGCCCTTGAACTTCTGATCCTCCTGCCTCACCTCCCACGTGCTGAGGTTGCAGGTGTGTTCCACCATACCCAGTTTTCTGTGGTGCCGGGGACTGAACCCAGAGCTTCCACATCCCAGACTCGAGCTCCTCTTCGCACTACAGACGGCCTCTTCCCACCAGAGAGTATTTGGGCCCCAGTTCCCTCTCCTCTGGTCTGAAACCCAACTATTGGTGAGCTACCTTCTCTTAAGTTTTGTTCAATAGAGAGCAAACACTCTGGAAAGGATCCAGCACACATGCAAGTTGAGAAACACTGCACTGTCTCTTGCTCCAAGATTCCCAACTTATCTGAGCACAATAAAGGCTCTATTAAGTCCTGACAGCAGGACTCACACAGATAAAGAGCCCCTGGAAAAAAAACTATTCTTTGCCTTTTAGGGATAACCACAGTTGCTTCTGTTTCTTGGTTCAGCCCCTGATCAGCTGGTGGCACACGGCACATCATGTCGGCCTTTGTGCCAGTTTCTCCATCTGTGGAGTGGGCACGGTGCGGTGCCTGCTTTTCGTTTACTGAGAGGAGCACAAATCCCAGAAGTTAAGGAGTATTCTGAAAGCATCGTCATGACTATCATCACCACCATCACCACCACCACCATCATCATCACCATCACCATCATCACCATCATCATCACCACCATCATCATCATCATCACAACTGTCACCACCATTACCACCATCACCACCATCAATTCCATTACCATCTAGGCCCATCCTTGGGGAAGTGGCTGGGACAATCTGAAGTCACTGCTTCCATGGGAGGAGGGAAGGGGGAGAGGTTTGGGTGCCCTGAGCCCTGAGGTCAGTAGAAGTGATATGAAGGCACTGAGCCTCACTTTCCCTACCTTTAATGAGGATTCAAGAGCTTCTCCTTCTGCAATGTGGCAGGACCCCAAATGGGAAGGGCTGAACAGCCATGTGATCGGCCTCAGGCTCTGTCCCCACCCTTCACGGCCTTTCTGGAGGACAGCACCACCCTAATTGTTACTTTCCATACTTACAGGGCAGCAGAGAGGTAGCCATGGCTTCCAGCCTGCCTCCCCCTTTGTGTATGAACACTGCATGTGGACACACCAGCTGAAGTCCTCCCCTCATCTCTGCTTTCCCTCTTCCCTTTCCTTTCTGCCTCACGAGAACGCCCCTCTTCTTATTCAGTACAGTTGGTAATATGGGCAGGGAGGAAAATATTTAGCATCCACACCACGACATACTTGTCTCCTACCAGTGGCAGGCATGACTAATCCATCACAGCTCTCTGAAGCCCAAAGAATCCACAACACAGCTCTCCAGTCAGCCTCTATCAATCAGGATAGTCAGATTGCTACCTCAGATACATGATGCCCAAAGTCTGGTTCAAATGATTCCCCATTTTGCTGAGTTTCTATTCCTGGGAAATAGACAGGAGAAGGAGTCTTGAGATCTTGGCCACACTCATATTTCAAGAGTAGCTTTAAAAACAATTACCTTGGGGGCTGGGGAGATGGCTCAGAGGTTAAGAGTACTGGCTGCTCTTCCAGAGGACCTGAGTTCAATTCCCAGCAACCACATGGTGGCTCACAACCATTTGTAATGAGATCTGGTGCCCTCTTCCTGACTGTAAGCATCCAAGAAGACAGAATAGTGTATACATAATAAATAAATAAATCTTTAAAAAAAAACAAAAACAAAAAAACAATTATCTTTCTTTCTTTTTAGGGGCCTGCGCTACTGGGAGGAGGGCTGTGTGGAGCCTGACGGTGCAGCATTTCTGTGTCATAGGGGACAGTCCCAAGGTGGTACACACCCTCTTGCAGTCTGCAAGCTGCCTGAGAGAACCTTCCGCAGCACAGTTCCCATGCCGCCAAGCGTGGGAGCCCTGGGGGGTGGCCCTTTTGATGTGGGAGACACCACTTCCTCCCAGGCATCGAGAATATCTCCCTGGACAAGCACTGCCACTCAGGGCCTCCAATAAGGGGACACTAAGTCTTCGCTCCTGCCCTGCCTTCTTGGGGCCTTGGGTTGGCAAAGGGTCTCAGGACAAGCTTCCCCAGGGCCTGCTACCATTCCCAGCCCTCGTTGGCTACCATGTGTCCTCTGCCCTCCATCCTGCTGAGGCTAGCCCTTTGCACAGAGAAATGGCTGACCATCCGATCGGGCCCCTGCTATGCTTTGAACCTCGTTTCCTGTGCATGCACCTTCTTGCACACTCTACACCAGCCTCGCCAATCTCCTCACACACACCAGGCTCATTCCCACCCCAGGGCTTTTGCACCAACTAACCCCTTCCTGAGAAGTCTCTCTTGCACCCTCCCTCACAGAGGTTGCTGGTTCAAGGCTGACTTCCTAGACAGCCTGTTTCTCCTCATCTTACTGTTTCCTTGGCATTAGCATGGATGCAAGGAGGTCTCCATGCACTACCCACACAACCAGGCCCTGGGCCATCTGGCCCACCTCTATCTCTGGCCTCCCCGCCCCTTGGCCTCCTCCTCACATTCAGTGGTTTCTTTCTTTCTTTTTTATTTTCAGTGGTTTCTCTAATGTGTGGGCCACGCCCCTTTTCTAGCCTTTGCATGCCTGTGGTTCCCCACCTCTATCTCCAACTAGGTCTCTCTGGGTGACCCTGGACAGAGGGCAAGTTCATCTGGCCTGCAGCCGACGCTCGACACGGCAGCGCGAGTGGGCAAAAATGGTGGGGACTGTGTTGTTCTAAGCACAGGCTCAGAGCCCACTGTACCTGGGTGTTCTCTAACCATGCCTTAAGGGAGCCACAGAGCAGGTGCTTGGGGAACACTTCCTGCAGCTTCCAGACTGTGTTCATGCCGAGGCGAGCATGCTCAGGGGGCCTCCTGAAGAACAGCAGCAGCGCACACCTGCCTTCTCTAAGGAGTCCCCAGTAAGGGTGCTAATCCCTCACAGGGCAGGGCCCACAGCAAGGCTTCTGGAAAGACTGCACTGAACCAGGTTCTCTTCCCATGGCTCAGAGGCTGAAGGATGGGGGAAATCATCTCCCTCCCCAGCCTCATAAAAAAGGTCCCTTTCCCCACCAGCCTCTGCATCTCTCCTTTGAACACAGGCTGTACTCCTTCTTATCCAGGAGGGACAGAGTTCATCTCTCATTGAGGATCTGGGCATTTTCCATCTTGTTTTCTAGTTGTGTGTTTCAACTCTTATCTCATCTGCCAGATTTCTAGCTCTGGGAACTACCCAACCCTGTGACCCCAGGACAGAGGATAACAAAACAAGCTCCCAGTAATGAACAGATAAGAAACTAGCTCACTACCTCTGGGGTCTCTTGGTTATCATTAGAAACAAGGGCTCCAATTCCAGATGTTCCCTCCAATCTCCCAAACAAGATCGCAACAGATATCAAATAAATAACATGCATACCACTATTATCAAATTTGCACCATCAGCAATCAAACCCAGCACTCCTCCCTGCACAGCTAGGATGGAACTTGGGAATCACCCTCAATACCATACTCTAGGGACTCCGTACTTCCAGGGCAAAGACACACATGGGACGGTCAGTCATGGACCAGAAAACACGATGACGTTCAAAGAGCGAAAGTGACGTCACTTGGACCCCCTCCCCCCAGCTGGCTTGTGATGCTCTTGGCAGCAGGACCTGGAATTTCTGGGTCCAACTCTGGGCTGACCCAACTGGGTTGGCCAAGGTTGGGGGTGTTGTGGGTCTGAGACCTACGGGGTTGGGTAAAGTCTCAGAGCTGGACCACAGAGCGAGCTCAGGGGCTGTACAAGTGACCTCCCGGTAGGCCATCGGTTGTCCATCAGAGTGAGTCACCTCTTCCGAGAGCAAGAGCCCCACCAGAGCTCCTGAAGGTCTTCTGAGTCTCCATCTCTCCATGTTTGCCTTGCCCAGGAATGCCAAGCTCTCCGACAGTGATTTTCTTGTCTCCCACGAGCCTCAGACCTTCTAGGGGATGCCTAACATATGTACCCAGCAGCCCCCAGGGAGCCCTCAAAGGCCCTGGCCTCAGTGCAGGTGGAGAGGAGAGGGCAGAAGTGAAACCATGCCATCTGGGGAGAAGAAAGTCCCCTGCCCACCCTTTCCCCTCTCTAGAAGGTCCCACGGGAACTCGGGGATGCTCTCATTACCTGCAGCCTTTCAGTCCCACTCCACCTGGGAGCCAAGTCCCTGCCCCGAGGGTCACCTGGGGCCACTGCCTGCACACCCATCTGTGGAGATAAGGCAAGGCCTGGGAGATGGAGCCTGAGCTCAGGTGTTCACCATCAGTGATCTGGGGCCCTATGTTCACGTTGTCTTCCACCACAACCAGCTCTGACCACCTGCAGGCCTCAGTTTTCCCTCTGTCAAATGACTCCTCTCCCTATCTACCTCCCAGGGTGTACCCCACAACTTTGAGCCCTGGCTGACATTGGGGATTCAGATTTCTCTGATCCTGGGGCTCAGTCTTGCTTTCAAAGATAGATTTACTTTGTGTGTGTATGTATGTTCTCTTTCAAGGTCTGCCTCCCTCCCCAGAGCAACGGGTGGAGCCCAGGTAGGGGAGGGCCAGCTGGTTGCTGTTCCCACGCCCTGGGGAGCACACAGCACAGACAGGAGTCTGTGGCTTGGCTTCCCAGGGAGAGGGCAGGAAGTGCTTCAGGTGGGGGCTGGCTGGGGAGGCTTTGGGTTTGACCTTGTGGTGAGGTGGTGACCCTGCCTCAT